ATTATATAAAACGAGAGCCAACCCCACTCGCTTCTGGCACTGATGATATTGGGTCATGGAATGTCTGCAAGGAAACCTCCAAACTCAGAGAGCACCAAGGACCCCACAATCCTTCTCCCCTTCCTCCCCACAGCAAGCTCTCCTCCCTTCCAACACTGATGATGTTCCCTAGTTAGGTCATGAAATGTCTGCAAGAAAACACCCAAGCTCAGAGAACACCAAACACTGTTGTTGTTGTCCTCCTCCTCCTCCTCCTCCTCCTCCTCCTCCTCCTCCTCCTCCTCCTCCTCCTCCTCCTCCTCCTCCTCCCTCCTCCAACCCCACTCCCTTCTAGCACTGATGTTGTTACTTAGCTGAGTCATGAAATGTCCACAAGAAAATCACCAGCCTCAGAGTGCACCAGCAACGCCACGGTTCAACCCTGAGCTACAAATATTCTCACCCATGCTCTCCCTATACTGCTTCTCCAAAGTCCATTATCCTAGAAAATTCTTGAAATTTGTAAACCTATATCATTGATTGATTGGCTGATATATCAAACCTTATCTAAACTCACAGTTCTGGACAGTATACAGTTTAATCAATAGAATAAAACATTAAAAACTGAATAATTTAAGATTTAAAAATTTGAAAAGTGTGAAATATTTTTTAGAAGCGGACAATTAGGTCCAAAAGTGGAACAGATCAAGGCATACATTGGTGGATGGCAAAAGCTGCCAAAGAAGAGATTTCAGAGAATGAACACAGTGCTGGTGATCCTAGCCTGAATTCACACAACCCCATGAGACCTTTGCCAGTTACCATATTAAACCTTTCTGTTCGAAATCAGTTCTTTCCAGAGACATCAGAGTCGTTGAAATATTCTTTGAATACACAGCTGTTCCTTGACATATCAAGTAGAACCTGGTTTATTGTTTCTCTTTACAGAACCAGGCCAAGTGCGATGGAATGCCTCTCTCATCCCTGGTTTTCTGTAAGTTTTAATTGCTGTTGAGGGACTGGAAGAATCAAATTTGGATTCTTATGCCTCTTTCCCCCCAATCTGGACTGCAGGGATGACTGTGGGGGTGGTGAGATTAAAAAAAGTCAAGGTGGCAGCCCAAAGGCACAGGGCTCTGGTTGCATAGTTGCAATTTCCATATTAATTTTTTAACCTCCCCAATTTGGAGGATACCTTTGCTAAGACGATCTATGTCAAAGTGAAGGCTTCTCCCAAAATGTGTAATTTACAGCAAGAATTTAAAGGAACAATGCTGTTTTTTGACCTGGTGGCTTGGTTTTTTTTTTTTTTTTTAAGAAATGAACAATTCCAGACAAATGCTAGAAGCTCTGGTTTTCAAATAAATTGGGATATTTGCTGGGTGTTTGAAGATATGACCCGGAATTTATTTTCAAACTGATATATTCCTTTTCAGCACAAACCCCCATCTGAAGAGGCTCATTTTATTGAGACAAAACCGCTCAACTTTTTTGTATCCCGAAGCAAATGGCAGGTTAGTAAACAGCTCTACCCCGATGCACAGTTATTTTGGCTTCACTAGTGTCGGTGTTCTGGGATCCATCATATGCATTGTTATGCACGTTTACAATTTTTATTTTAGAGACTGAATATATCCAATACAGATAGACTCTGCTGTTTATTCTTGGCAAACTTGGGAAGAGAATAACTTAGATTTTAAATGCATATTTAAATGGCTTAAATAGGGTTCCAAGGTTCCTTGTCCCATGTTCCTGTATGAACAGCAGGTCCCAAGGCTGCATTTCTCAACTTTGGCCACTTTAAGACATGTGGACTTCAACTCCCAGAATTCCCCAGCCAGCATGGTTGACTGCAGAATTCTGGGTGGGTTGAAGTCCAGATATCTTTAATATTGCTAAGGCTGAGAAGCGTGGCTTCTAAAGAGTTGCTATTTATTTGTTTTTATGATTGGATTTCTCTACTGCCCTTCTCGTTAATATAAGTAGTCCTCGACTTACGATCAAAACTTCCATTGCTAAGACAGACACTTGTGATGTGAGTTCTGCCCCATTTTGCGAATTTCCTTGCCACAGTTGTTAAGTGAATCACTGCAGTTGTTAAGTTAGTTACACAGTTGTGAAGGGAATCTGGCTTCCCAATTGACTTTGCTTGTCAGAGGTCACAAAACGGGGATCATGTGACCCCAGGACACTGAAACGGTCATAAAGATGAGTCAGTTGCCAAGCGCCCGAATTTGGATCATGTGACCTGCATCAGCTATAGGTGTGAAAACCGGCCACAAATAATTTTTTTCAGTGCTGCTGTAACTTTGAAACCCTAAACAAATGATCGTAAGTCGAGGATTATCTGTATCTGCTAGCCATCTTTGAAAATTACATCTTTTTTTAACACATGAAACAACTCTCAAAAATAGATTGCAAAAATTAAATGGGGTTTCCTATTAACTCCTGATTCACAGTGACTTTATAAAGAAATGTAAGAGTACAGAAAATCCTCAACTTATGACCACAATTGAGCCCAAAATTTATGTTGCTAAGCGAGACAGTTAAGTGAGTTTTGCCCAACTCTATGATCATTGTGGCCACAGAGGCTAAATAATCACTGTCGTTGTTAAGTTAGTAACACGGTTGTTAAGTGAATCTGGCTTCCCCATTGACTTTGCTTGTCAGAAAGCCACAAAAGGGGATCACATGACCCCGGGACACTGCGACCGTCATAAATATGAGTCAGTTGCCCAAGTGTCTGAATTTGGATCAAGGGACCATGGGAATGCTGCAACGGTTATAAGTGTGAAAAATGGTCATAAGTCACCTTTTTCAGGACTGTCGTAATGCCAAATGGTCACTAAATGAATAGTTGTAAGTCAACAACTACGTATCTTGCAGATTTTTTTTTTGCAAAACTACTTGAAGTAAAATCATCATTTTGACCATGATGATATAGTTGCAGCATGTGGGGATGCATCATCAATAGATTGGAGAGCCATTTGTCTGGAATGGTATAAGGTCTCTCTCTTGAGTAGGGGATTGGACTAGATGACCTCCCAGGTCCCTTCCCACCCCATGATTCTAGGTTCTATCATATTGTGTTTGGGCTGGCCTCAGTTTTCTCTTTTCCATTGTTTTAATATCCCTTTCATGTCCAGCGATCTCTTATGAGCTACAAGTCGTTGCTTGTGATGAGACCAATCCCAGAAATTCTGGAAAAGCATCACAAGAACACCTCACTTGGCGTCTCCCGGCAACTGGTCGAAGAGAGCAGTTCCTCCAGCACCAGTGGGTCATCTTCAGACAACGAAATTTTGGTGTCCTCTGGAAAAAAACCTTTCGGACCCATTCCGGAGGTTCGTCTATCTGTGCCGGAAAGATCAAACGATCGAGATGATGAAGTATTTGAAGATGAGTTCAAACTTCCTGAAGGCTCCATGCCACCCGTCAAAACCAGAAGGTTGAAGGAGCCTTCAGCGAAGGGACAGTTGGATGGACATCCTGTCCGAGAACGAGAAATCTCCGAGGGTGACGCCCATGGAAGAACATTGTTTGAGTTGGCTTCATTGCAAGATCAAACTGGATTGTTGCCTCCAGAAGAAGGAAGGATAGAACGGTCTCCAGGTTGTGTCCCGAGACATAGTGTCATCAAAAGTACTTTTTACAGCCACCCATCGGAAAATCTGACCTATTTTCCTTCCTCACCAGGAAAAGGGCAAAGGAAACAGTTAGAAAGAGCTAAGAGGTCTTACAGGAAAGCTGGATATTCAAAGTCCGCTTTAACCGGCCTGCGGGAACCCTTGCTAGAACAGTTTGAACTTGGGAGAGAAGGAGGAGCATTGGCGGATGCAGAATTGGGGAAGGAACGAGAAGGAAGTTATGGACCCCTAATCACCAAATCGGCTTCTTTTGATACTGCTCAGAAATCGCCCAAAGTGACTTTCCAGGTATCGGCCAGGAGCCGTTCTTTGGATGACTACAGAATAAGAGCTGGGAGCTTCGCTGAGGAACAGGAGATTGCAGAAGAAGACCTGGACGCCATGCTGCAGGGTGGCCCAGCAGAAGGAGCTCATCTGAGGGACGAAAAAATGTCAGCAGCCAAAGCTAGGGAAGGTTTTTCTGAAGAATACCCAAAGTTAGCCCCACTGGATGACAAGGAAAGATCCAAGTTGGGCCTTCAGCAGGACAAGAAGACCTTGATTTTGGCACGGGGCTCTGAAAAAGTGGAAGATTTACCGCAGAAAACGAACGTGCCACATTTAGTGGGAATATCTCCTCAAGGCAGAGAAGATCAGATTCTAGAAGCTCAGCAATCTGGTTTTGCTTTAGGGTTGGCTTCAAAAAGTGACATCGAGGAGGAGCAGATATCCATGTCTTTTCCTTACAGGGATGGACGAACCATTTTTCCACAAGGGGAAGCCTCTGGTTTGAGAGTGCCACCATCAGAGACCCCAAATTTGGTGTCTTGGGATAGCAAGGAGAAAAAACCATCCCGTGAGACAACCCCAACTTCTCCCAAGAGTGTTGAAGGACATCAACGTCAACAAGGAGAAAGTCTTCGTCTCCTGAAAGCTGTTCCCTTTCACATCACTCATGCTCAGACTGAGAAGCAGCTTGCTGGTGCTCCAGACAAGAGTTCCGCCTCCTCTGTCCTCGAGGAACAGCAAAGTACATCCCAGAAGCTCTCAGGATCCCACTTGACCAAGTCAGCCATGTTAGAGAAGAAAGATCTGGAGAAGTTGGACATCCCTCAAGCAAAAATGGCTACACCTTCCATCTCTGAGAGTGCAAGGCAAAAACCTTTACATCAATTGCCCGTGGCACATCTGGAAAGGAAGCTACCTGTTGCAAAAAGTGAAGCTCCTGCTCATCCAGAGATGGTTGCTCTGGGAGGAAGCCAGCACCAATCACAACGAGAGTTTCCTCCTTACAGAAGACCATCTCCTACTAGCCCAAGAGGCGCTGCTGCTCTGAGGCAAGCATCTTCCCGACCAGGGTCTGCCTCGGTACCCATGCTTCATGGAGAAACCCAGGTAGCCTCACTTCCAAAGTCCTCTGCTTACCCAGAAAGAGAATCTCTTCTCAGAGAGGTTCAGCGAACTCCTCAAACCCAAGCAGATCTGATGTCTTTCTCTGAAGCTGAAAAGTATGAGCTCTACCACCACCTGCCATCTGCCCCTGGTGAGGCCCTCAAGGGCCAAACACCTGCTGTGGCGGGCTATTCTCAAGCGAAAACGAGACCTTTTGCAACTTCTGGAAAAAAAGTCTCCATAACTCAAATAAAAAGACCATATTCCATTGGAGAAGGCAGAAGCCACGAGCAGAGACTTTACGATGACTCAGAGGCTCATGTTCTGGAAAACTTAGCGGAGAAGATGGCTTACCAATCGATCTCCCAAGAGGAGATGCTCCATCAAAAGTCACCTGGCCAAGCGGTGAGACCGAAAAGTAGGTATCTAGTGCGCAGAGGCAAGAGAGAAGGAGGCATTGGCCTAGCAGATCCTTCAGAAGCCGATATTATCTATCCTGGAGAAGAAGACTATTTCAGTCTCCAGTCTTACCTGAACAAGAAAGCCAGGATGTCTTCTTCTTATGAAGGCTTGGATTATACAGGAAGGATCCAAATGTATGAAATTGCCCTTGTGCAGATCCAGGATCTCTCGGAGATGCCTCGTCCCGACAGCAAAACCTCCAAATTTGATATCACGGAGGTGGAACCAGCTTTCCTCAACCTTCATGAACTCTATGACATTGTCTATTCTCCATTTGAGTTCCTGAGTTTCAGGAAAGCTCCTGAAAATTTGCCCACCAAAAGGCCACCTGGATTCAAACTCCCTTCTCCGCAGGAGAAAAAAATATGTCTCAGGGAGGATAAATTGCCTGAGGCGGACCTCAAGGAACCTTCTGGACAAAAGGAAACAGATGCCCTCAAAACGGAGATAGGTCCTGAACCAGCCATAGCACCACGGATAGGAAAAAGGTCTGACTCCGAAGGTGATCTACCGACGGGGTCCCAGTATGATCTCCCATCAGATTCAAAGAGGAAGAGTTCTCTCCAGAGTGCCTTAGGACTTTTCAAGCCCGTGGTCCGCTCTCAATCCATGGAGCAGGTGGAACTCAGTCTGGGGAAGAGGATGAAGGCATCCGTAGCTCAGTTCTCAAAGATGTTGACCCGAAAACTTTCCAGTGAAGACACCAGAACAGGTAATGATTATCCTCCTTGGCTGACATGAGCCAAAGAAAAGCCCTCAGGATCGTTACCAAAGTAGAGATATTCTGGGTGTAGAAATGGATGTTAGGATAGGCCAAGCCGTAACTCAGTAGTAGGGGAAATATATTTACATGTCAAATGTAGAAATGGTGAAGGAGAACCTCAAAGTAACCTGGCTGGATTCTGGATAGAGGGATCACCTGGGATGCTTTTAAGAGTATATTGTCACATCCTACAACAATGAAGTGGCATTTCTGGAATCTTTGTGGGATCTGTTTCAAGATCCTCCTCAAAGGGTTGACAGATAGCTACCAATTCTGGTCTCAATCCAGCTTCTAAAAGGTACTTCTGGATATTTCTGAAGGACATCCTGGTTAAGAGGGGTACAAAAGAGCAGCAGTCTCCAAAATTTGTAATTTTAAGACTTGTGAACTTAGAATTCCCCAGCCAGTATGACGGGCTGAGGAATTCTGGGAAATTGAAGTTCATAAGCCTCGAAGTTGCTAAGTTTGGAGAACTTCTGCAAAAGAGAATGGATCTTCAGATCTCCTGGCTGCCCCATCCCTGACCTTTTGGGTGGTCCTCTATTTTCTAGCCTCTGAGGAAGTCAAAAGTGAGCAAGCTGAGAGGACCTCTCTGACAGAGCCTTCCCCAACCTCCAAAAAGAAAAGGATGTTCTCAGCATTCACCCTGCCCAGCCTCAAGACTAAGCACAAAGGTATAGCAACCAGGGGAGGGGGAACGGAAGGAAAGTTGGGAGGCTGGAGTGGAGGAGGGAGGGTTGATTGGGGTCCTGAGTTCGATCTCTGCATTCTGCATTTATTTTTAACCATTAATGCCCAACATTGGGGGGGGGTCTTTGTTTTAGAAATGCACTGAATAATAAATCAATATTTGGGAAGGAGGGAGGGGAAATAGGAAGGAAGGAAAAGGAAACCAGAAGGAAGGAAAGGAAGAAAGAAAGGAAGGGAGGGAGGGAGGGAGGGGAGGAGTAAGGAAAGAAAAGGAAAGGAAGGAAGGAAGGAAGGAATGGCAATAATAAAACCAACCCCCCCAAAAAAATCCATGGTCCGCTGCATTTTTCTCCAGAAGTAGTCCTGAAGTCTTCAAGGGCCGCCCCATGTAGCAAATATTACAGGAGTCTAGCTACAACTTCTAAAAAAGGGGCCGGAAATTTCCTCTTTTGGTTCTCATACTTCTGGACTCCATTCCTAATTTTTGACACTTGTTCGGAAAGTCCAGTTGCGCTTTCTGTCTTCAATTGGGCTTGGCCAGTAGTGGGATGGATGATTCCCCCAGAGGCAAAATCAGTATATTTCCAGAATCGAGACACATCAGATTTAATCACACACAAGCCCATGATGCAAAACTCTCCGTTCTCCTTTCCAGGACCTTACTTCACAGAAGAGCTCACTGACCAGACAGTTGCCATCGGACAATCGCTGACCCTCTCCTGCCGGACCTCCTCCCATTCCTTCTCTGGCATAGAATGGTCCAAAGGTACCGTAGCTGCTGATATCAGGGGTGGGCAGGTTGACCAGAACCTCCCCTTCCTACGGCAGATCCCTGTTCACCTCCTGGCTGGCTCCTTGTTCAAATCCCTTCCCACAGGTTGACAAGAACGTAACCTGGTTTTTTTTTTTTGAAAACAACTTTATTGATTTTTTACAAACAAACAAAACAAACAAGACATAAAAACATCAACTCTCTTATGTACATACAGTGTGTCGGTTGGTTCATCAGTTTTGTGCATTCATTTCGTAGTCTCAAATTACAGTTATATTACATAATAGCTCATATTGTCAATCCAAACTTATACATCCAAATATCGCTATTAGAAAATCATTTGACTATAGTTTTAATCATTCATATTTTATGAGATAACAATACTTTGAATAGTTTATTCTATAACAAATCATATAATCATACCAGATCTATCCTAAAAACACTTTATAGATATGATGTCAAATAACAAAAGAAAAAGAAAAAATAAAGATATTCCTTGCTGTCTAACATTCTAAATATTCTATTATTGTATTTTATCATCCAACCATTGATAGAAAAGATCCCAAATTTCATAAAATTGTTTATCCTCTTGCTCTCTAATTTCAAATGTCAATCTACTCATCTCAGCACATTCCAATATTTTCTTAATAATTTCTTCCTGCGATGGTATTTTCTCATTCTTCCAATTTTTCCCACCTGGGGTTTTTGAAGCTCCTTCAGCTTGGTGGTTTTACTTGCAGGCGTTTTGTTACCAAACTAAGGAATATCATGAGTAACAGAAAAGAGGGGGGTTTGCAGGGGGGAGGGGGAGGGGGGAGGAAGACTGTGGGGTCCTTGGTGCTCCCTGAGCTGGGTTGTTTTTCTTCCAGACATTTCAAACTAGGTCATATCATCAGTGCTAGTAACTGCTCCGCGGTTGAACTGGTGACATTTTGCTTTCAACTGGATTTGCCTGCTTGCTTTAAAGCTTTCTGGGGTTTTGAGGGCTGTGGGGTGCTTTGGATCACACACAAAAGGGGCGCTTTGGCGCACGCAAGGATGCTCAAACAGCATTTTGCAGCTTCTCAAAGCCAGCAGTATGTTCACCCAGGGTTGGGTCGCAGCCCTATGCAAGCTCCCTTCGATCCTGAGAAAAGATGCATTTGGTTTAAGGTCTTGAGGAAGAATGTCACAGGTGTACCTCCTCTCTAGTCCTTTTATTCCCCAGAATTCCTCTTTTGTCCAGTGATATTTCCAAGCTATATACATTATATAAGTAGTCCATGACTAAAAGTCATTCATTTAGCAACCAGGAATAGGAAGGAAGGAAGGAAGGAAGGAAGGAAGGAAGGAAGGAAGGAAGG